GATAAGTCAGCGTGGGCGACAAAGGTTCTTAGGGTGGAAGACATTTTCCCCCCAAGGTTCAACTCTGTGACTGCTTCTTCCAGGCAGCCTCCCTTCTCTTCCTCCTGCCAGGTCACTGCCCTGTCCAGCTACTTATTCCGCTGGGGCCTGCCCACATTCTTGCTTGTCTCTGTCCCTGTTCAATTTTGTGTCTCCTCCATCCTTCCTCCGGAGCAGGGCTCATGGTGTTTGACTACTGTGGCATTAAGTGAAGAACGAACAGACAGACGAATGAATGAATGAGTGAATGAATGAATGATGGAAAGTAGGCTAGAGGAGCCCAGGCCTCCACTCCTGTCCCAAGTGATGCGTACTCTAGGTTCCCCTGTCAGAAGAAATTCACTCCGAAATTGATTGGCTCGGGCTAGGGAAGGCCGACCTTGGCCAGAGGACTCTGCACAAACTGAATCTGATCCCTCCTTCAGAAGACACCTTCCTCTGCCTCCTCCCTCTCCCTTGTTCCACCCTCCTCACGCTGTGGGGGCGGGAGTGGGGGTGCAGACTGAAGGCAGAGCTGGTTACCCTGGCAACCGTCCCAGCAACTGTCCAAGGCCTGCGGTCAGCCTTTGCCTGGGCCTCTTTAGTCACCCAGACAACCACTATCTCGTTCTGGTCAACCATCAACCCTTTTCCCGTCACCCTAGCAACCATCGGTGGACCCACCATCCTGGTCTCGGCCCTCATCCGGCCTACAGATTTTCTTGCCCAAGCCCTCCACTCTAGGATCTGACACCGTCTCCTTCTGACCCACAGGGAGGAGGGCCTTAGTCCTGCCCTATAGTGCGTGTAGGCCAGGCCCTAGGGGTCCTCAGTCCCCGTTCCCCGCCCCCCTACAGTCTGAGAAAGTCCTTTCCTGTCTCCCTGCGTGCATTCTTGCATAAACTGTCCAGCAGCCACAGGCAGCTCTTCAAAATGCAAGCCATGTCCCTCCTCTGTTAAAAAACATCTCTCCGGCTCCCTTTGACAGTCGGCTTGCAGCCCCTGACGGTCTGGGAGCAGTGACTGACCTCCCCATCACGCCAATGCCTGGAGCTTGTTCCCTTCCCCGACCTTCCTAGCGGCTGTTTTCCAATCCTGGGAAAAGTGCAGCCCTGTCTTCCCCAGGGAGGACTGTATCCTCCTGGGAAGCCTTATCTGAGTTCTGCCACTCACTGGCAGAGCCTTCCATTCCGCCCCCTCTGTGAACTCCAGAATGCCAAGATGGCCCCCTGACTCACATTCTGTCCCCAAAACAGCGGCTGACAGCTGAGGAAAAAGCATGTCTCTTTAGGAACAAGAGAGGACAGAGGGCGATGGCCAGCCCAGAGGGCTCTGGCAGGCTCATTTCCAGAACAGAAGGCATTTTTCAGGTCTCCCAAGCCCTCGTGCTGCAGGTGACTCTGTTGTTCACAGGGAAGGAGCAGGAATCAAAGCGATGAGCGGCTCATCTGGCAAAGAGCTGGCTGCCCTGCTAACGTTGATCGCTGGGACCCGCACAGGGGAAGGGGAGAATGAACTTTCTCAAGCTGGCTCTGACCTCTGCAGCCAGCATGGTAGCACTACAGCACACACCCATCAATCAACAATGAATGTAATTTCTTAGAGAAGAGGGCAGGCGAGACTGCTCCATGGCAGAGGTCGTGTCATCAAGCCTGAGTTCGGGTCCTAGGACCACAGTGGTAGAGAAAGAGCCGACTCTGCAAGCTGTCCTGTGACATCCATCTGTACAATCCTCCCCCCACACACACACACATACACAAAGGCACAGGAACTAAATAAATGAAATGTAATTTTACAAAGGAGAGAGGAGCAGTGAGATGGCTCAGAGGGTAAAAGTGAGTTCAATCCCCAGAAACCACAGAGTGAATAAAAAAAAAAAGCAAAATAAGCCAGGCAGTGGTGGCATGAGCCTTTAGTCCCAGCACCCAAGAGGCAGAGGCAGGAAGATCTCTGAGTTCCAGGACAGCCAGGGCTACCTAGAGAAACCCTGTCCCAAAAAACTATATCAATATCAATATCTAGCCATCTATCTATCTATCTATCTATCTATCTATCTATCTATCTATCTATCTACAACAGTGGGCGAGATGGTGCACACTTGTAATCCCAGCACTCAGGGAGGCAGAGGCAGGAGGATATCTGTGAGTTCGAGGGCAGCCTAGTCTACAAAGTGAGTCCAGGACATCCAGAGCTACACAGAGAAACCCTGTCCTGAAAAACCAAACCAACCAACCAACCAAACAAACAAACAAACAAAAAACCAGGAAAGAATGCCAAGTTGACAGTGGTATGTACCTATAAACACAGCACGTAGGAGTGCTGTTGCTCTCGCAGAAGACCTAACATCCCGGCAACCTGTTGTCCTCTTGTGGGCTCCGTGGGCACCAGGTGTGCATGCATACAGGCAAACACTCATGCACATTAAAAATATTAGTTGGGCATGGTGGCCCATTTCTTTAATCCCAGCACTGAGAGGCAGTGACCAGTGGATCTCTCTGAGTTTGAAGCCAGCCAGGGTCACGTACAGTGAGATTCTGTTTCAAAATAAATAAATAAATATTAAAAACAACACCACCACACTAAATAGCCAGGCACAGTATATGCCTTTAAAAAATATTTTATTTATTTTATGCACATTGGTGTTTTGCCTTGCATGTATGTCCATGTGAGGGTGTCAGGTTTCCTCAAACTGCAGTTACAGACAGTTGTGAGCCGCTGGGAATTGAACCCAGGTCCTCTGGAGGAGCTGCCAGTGCTCTTAAGCACTGAGCCGTCACTCTAGCACACTCCAGTGCGTGCTTTTAATCTCCGGTACTAGTGAGCCAGAGGCAACCAAATCTCTGTGAGTTCCAGGTCAGCCTGGTCTACATAGCAACTTCAGGCTATATAGTAAGATCCTGTTCTCAAAATAAATGAATATATCAGTTAGTTAATTGCAAAAGACTAGGCAATAAAATTAGTATGATTACTATGATCGGTCTGGAGCTGCTGGTCCACCTCACACTTGTTTTGTAATTGTTCTATCTTCCTGAGACTGGGTCTTGCTCTGTAGCCGAAGCTGGTTTCATGCTCACTGCAGAGCTCAAGCTGGCCTTGAACCTGTGATCATTTTGCCATGGTCTCCACTGTGCTGGGCTTACAAGCATGCATCACCTGGCATGCCCACCTTTCACTCTTCATTTTTAACTCCATCATTTAGAAGCTGGGTCATCATGCCCTTAGACATTCAGCAGAGGTTTGGCTAAGCCAGATATGGTAGCACACACCTTTAACTCCAGCACTCAAGAAGCTTTGGCAAGAGGATTTCTAGTTCAACACCAGCCTGGGCTACTAAGAAAAAAAAAAATGGCTAATTTGGAGCAGAAGATTTTAAAAACTGGGAGCTAGACACCTCAGATCCCAGATGGTGCCCATTTATTTATTCATGTGTCTGAGTATTTGTGTGTGTGTACAATGTGTGTTTCTGTGCTTGTGTGCATGCACAAGGGTTATGACGCACATGTGGAGGTCAGTTGACAAGTTGTGGGCGTCACCTCTGACCTTCCTTCTGTCGTGTGTGCCTCAGGGATCAAGGTCGTCAGGCTTAGTGGTCACAGGCTGAGACGTCTTGCCTGCTCCCAGATGTCTGCTCAAGGCCCTTTCTGGAGTTGAGTCTAGCATGCCTGGCTTTCTAACAGAATTCAAGGTTATTTTCCTGGGGATCTGAGGCAGGTTGGGAAGAGAGAATTTAACCTGACTTGAATTCGGTCGTGATGAAGAGGGGGATCATTGGAAGCTGCCTTGAGTTTGGCTTTAGAGGAGGGGATTCATTCACCTGGTTGTCCTAGGAGGGTCCTTACTTTGTGAGGTGATTAGGAGCCAGCAAGGAAGTGGCTTACTTTTTTTTATTTATTTGTTTGTTTGTTTGTTTTTAAGAAAATGAGCCCAAACTGACTTATTATTATTTTTTGTACTCTTTAACAACGTCCTTAACATCAGATTCTTTGCCATAGTCCTTAGCTATTACACAACTGTAATTAACCACTTTACCTGGTTTCCCCTCTCCCTCGATTTTGAGGCCTTCCCATTCCCCTAGTTTCTTGTTTTCATCAATCTCAGGTTGATTTGGCACTCCACACAAAGCACCTCTGCCACCTTGACATACACAGGATCATCACAATTGGATGAAAGCACACAGAGATGGCCTTGGCACTTGTCAAAGGCCTTAGCAGCTTCGAATATGCCAAGCACTAGGCCATCATGGATGAGGTTGATCTTCAGCACTTTTGTAAAGCTATATCGGTGTCCACAACAATTCCAGCAGCAATGACTTCCTTGGCTGTGGCAGTGGATTTCAGGCAAGGCCGAATCTTGAGTGCACCCGACCCTCCATCTCCTCACAACTCCGTGGAGACACAGGAAATGCTGCCATTGTTTATTTATTAAGACATGGTACTGCTGTGCACCCCAGGGTGGCCTTGAACTCAACAATATTCGCACCTCAGCTTTTCAAGTGTTGAGATTACAGGTGCAGACCGTCATGTCCAGCAAGCCACCCTTCCTTTTAAAAAGGTTGGTTTACTTATTTAATATGTGTGTGTGCGCGCACACACACTTGAAGCCAGACTGTCAGGCTGGGTGGCAAGCGCCTTTACCTGATGAGCCAGATTTCTTAAACCAGAATACCCTCGTTGACAGTCTGGTACGGCTTCCTGCACGTATGTGATTTGGCAGTTAATACACAGCTATTGCAACCAAGGCACTATATTTAAATATATATATATTTCTTGATTTTGTTTTGTTTCATTTTATTTTATCAAGACAGGGTCTCTCTGTGTAGCTTTGGCTACCTGGGACCCACTCTATAGACCAGGCTGGCCTCAAGAGATCCTCCTGCCTCTGCCTCCCAAGCACTAAGATTAAAGGAGTTTGTCACCCAACCAGCAAGAAATAAATATTTTTGCTGGATGGTGGTGGTGCATGCCTTCAATCCTAGCACTTGGGAGGCAGAGGCAGGAGGATCTCTGTGAGTTCAAGACAGCCTGGCCTACAGAGCGAGTCCCAGGATAGCCGGGGCTACACAGAGAGACCCTGACTCGAAAAACGAAACGGAATTTTTTATTTGTAGGAGTGCTTTGCTTGCATGTACGCGTGTAGACAGTGTGCCAGGCAGTCTCCCAGAAGAGGGTGTCAGATCCACAGACATGGACTTACAGATGACTGTGAAACCCCACGTGGGTGCTGACAATTAAAATCATATCCTCTACAAGAGCAACAAGTGGCCTTACCCACTAAGCTGCTCCAGACACACCGTAATTTAACAATTTAATGTTAACACTGCAGTTAACATTTAAATTGAGGTGTTGCCATAGGTTAGAAATACATTGGATGCAGTAGCGTGGAAGACTTAAGCTGCAGGCTGAGGGTGGAAAGCAAGATAGAGAGGTTAGAATTTATGGTTTTGTGCAGCCACAGGGGCAGGGAGGCTCAGGTAAGGAGAGGTGAGAGAGTCCCGGCATCTCTCTCCTCAAAGGAGACACACACCTGGCTGCCAGAGTCAAAGCGATTGCTCATACATGAAGACGCTCGTGCTATGTGTGAGGCCAGATACCCACAGAGGCTGCTGTGTGCCGCTCGGGAGTCACCTGCTGTGGGTGAGCTGGGAGTCGACCCTCTATGCGCACACCGAATGGACTCCCGGCACACACGGACAGGTATGTGTATGGCGTGTACCTGCTGAGCTGGCAAACAGGGGCTACTAGCCCAGCAGGTCTTGCAAGAAGGCCCACATGTACCGGTGCATCTCCTGAGGATGGCTCTGTGGGATCCAGTGGCCACTGCCTGGCAGGACGTGGCTCTCCAGCCGGCCTGGCACAAAGCGCCTGTGGATGGCTTCCACCAGCCCCTGCTGGAAGGTGTGGTCCTTCTCTCCCCACAGCAGCAGTGTGGGTGTGGAGAGTTCCTGAGGCTCCAGGGGGAAGTTCCTGTGGCCAAGACAGACAAGGAGACAGAAGAATGGCTACTGTCCTGTTCATTGCCTGGCACTCTCCTGAGCCTCTCCCCTGGGTCTAGCCTTACCTGAACAGGTTCCTGTAGAAGTTGATGGGCCCGGTGAGTCCTCCGGGTTGTGAGAAGTGATAGAGGAAAGCTTCAAGTTCACACGGAGTCAGGCGAGGGATGCCGTTCTTGCGGTCGGTGTACGTGGTTTTTAGCAACTGGGCATATACAATAGTGTGCCGGTTTAGTGTCCAGCCTGCCCTTCCCCAGTCTCTAACCCCCGTTTCTAGACCTTACCCCTCACTGCACCTGGAAGTCGGACAGAGACAGCAGCATTTCTGGCAGCCGGGGAAGCTGGAACAGGAACATGTAGTTTGATCGGAATAGCTGGCCGATGTGGCGGACTGAGTATTCTGGGAAGAGGGTAAAGGATGTGAGGTCTGGGCTTGGGGTGGCCCTCTAATCCCCACATCCCTACTCACCGGCTCCCGCACGCAGGCCTCTAGAACACCGTTCCTGCCTGCGTGCCTGTGAAGACAATGACCCCTCTCTTGCTGGGTGCTGCCCTGCCATGTGTGTTTGGATCTACAGAACAGGTAAAGCTGAGGAGATGGCTCAGTGTGTAAAGTGCCTGCTGCTCTTCCAGAAAACCTAAGGTTGCTTCCCAGCACCCGTGTCCTATGGCACATGGCCGGCAACTCTAGCTCCATGGGATGTGGTGCTCGATTCTAGCTTCCATGGCGCGTGTGTGTATGCACGTATGCACACGAGCTCACACACCACAGATACATACATATAATCAGAGAACAAAAAAATAACTCTTACTGGGTATCGGTGTTACACGCCTTTAATCCCAGCATTCAGAAGGTAGAGGCAGGGGGATCTCTGAGTTTGAGGCCAGCCTGGTCTACAGAACATGTTCCAAGACGGCTGGGGCTGCACAGACAAACTCTATCTCAAAAAAATCAGAACAAAAACAAATAGGGGAACCTCCCTCTGCAGCTCCTGGGTTCCCCCAGAGACACCAGCAGGCCTCTTGCTTAGGCCTGGACACATCCTCCAAGCTTCAGCTAATAAACATTTACTGACGACCTACTGTGTACCAGGCCCATGCAGAAAGGTGTAGGAGACAGATAGTAAAGGCAGTAAAGATTACAGTGCTATTTAGGTGAGGTATGAGGTGTGGTTCGGTGATAGAGAATGTGATTAGCAATCTTGAGGCTCTAGATTCTACTACCTCCCCTCCACCCCCATACAAACAAACCAGTAAGTAAAGGGCAAGTGACAAAAGATATTAGGTGGACAGAGAGGGCCTCTGAGTCTATTATAGTGTGTCTTATTCGTTGTTTGTATCTTTGCTGTCAATGCTGGGTGTAGAGGCATATGTGCGTATGATTCCAGCATTTGGGAGGCAGAGGCAGATATATCTGTATGAGTCTGAGGCCAGCCTGGTAGATATAGCAAGCTCCAAGCCAGTTAAGGCTACATGGTGAGATTCTTGTCACCAGAGAAAGAGAGAGAGAGAGAGAGAGAGAGAGAGAGAGAGAGAAGGAGGGAGGAAGGGAGGGAGGGAGGGAGAGGAAGGGAGAGCAGAAAAGAAAAGGCAGACATTATTTCCTTTGCCTCAGTTTCCCTCAGCTGGAACATGAAGCTAACAGCAGTTTCACAAGCCCAAGAGCCCAGAATAGTGACTTGTATTCAAGTTTATGATAGGAAACCGGAAGACAGAGGTTGGCCACCCTGTCCAAAAATTTTAAATGCTCCAAAATCTGAGTGGATTTAATTTTTAGAGACAGGGTCTCACTATGTTGCCCTGGCTAACTTAGAACTCACTCTGTAGACCAAGCTAGTCTCAAACTCAGAGAAATCTACCTGCCTCTTGTCTCCCAAATGCTAGGATTAAAAGTATGTGCCAAAAAAAAAAAAAAAAAAAAAAAAAGTGTGTGCCATCATACCTTGATGAAACTTTTGAGTGTTATTACAGTGCTACAAGTGGAAAATTCCACAGTTTACCTCTAATGGTTCATTGTACAGTCCTGTGTGTGTGTGTGTGTGTGTGTGTGTGTGTGTGTGTGTGTGTGTGTGGTGTTTGTTTCAGACAGGATCTTGCACTATTAGCTGGCCTCTAAGTCATGATCCTCTTGCCTCAGCTTCCCACGAACTGATTTTTTTTTTAGACTTAGTTACGTTTTGGTTTGGTTCAGTTTTGTTTTGTTTTGTTTAGACAGGGTCTCACTCTGTAGACCAGGCTGGCCTCAAACTCATAGAGATCCCCCTGTCTCTGTCTCCTCTATGCTGGGATTAAAGGAATATACCATGATGCCTGGCTTCTTTTTAGACTTAATTCTTTTTATTAACTTGCATTATTGTCTACATATATGTATTTATGCCTCGTATGTGCTAGTATTCACAGAGACCAGATGAGGACACTTAGGTCCTTTGGGGCTGGAGTTCCAGGTGAGTGTGAGCTACCACGTGGGCACTGGGAGTCGAGCTTGGGTTCTTTGACTAGCAAGTGCTCTTTACTGCTGAGCCATCTCTACTGTCCCTGCCCCTCAAGTGGTGACATCGATAGCTGTATGCTGTTATAGCCAACTCCACAAACTTTTCTTCATACACAAAATCACTAAAATTATTGTATTAAGTTTTTCAGTCTACATGTAGAAAGCATATAGGAAGCATAAATTAATTCTATGCTTAGATGCAGGCTTTCCAAAAAGACATCTATCCGATTATGTGTGTAAACAGTCCAAAATAAAAGAAAATACAAAATCAGAAATGCTCCTGACCTGCGCCTTCCCCCTTCTTCCTCTCTCTCTCTCCCACTCCCTCTCTCCTTCTCTCTTTCTCAATGCTCGAGATCACACCCAGACCCTCTACTATGCTAAACAAATGTTCAACCACGTAGCTATACCCTAGCCCTAGTCTGAAGCATTTCGTTATACTCTCCTCCAACCTGAAAGTGCTCCAAAAAAAGTAGGTTATTGGTAAGTGTACTCTCATTTATCTCTGTCCCTGCCACACTGAACAGTCACAGATGAATAGGATGGCATTTAGGCAAATCCCAACACACCTTGGAACACTGACATGGGAGGCCCGCTGACCACAACCATCCGCTCTACTAAGGACGGGAAGTAGATGGAGAAATCCCAGGCAAGGGCAGCCCCCCAGTCGTGGCTCACGAGGATGCACTTGGAGTACCCTAGGTGGAAGGCAGGGACAGACACAACGGTTTAAGATGTCATAGGTAAGAGGCAGGAGTGTAGGAGTGGGTCCCGAAGGGAGCAAAGCTGCCGTGAGTACACACAGGATGGGAGAGCCCTCTCCTGGGTTGGGCAGTGGCTCATACCTAGGCCTAGGATGATATCCTTGATATCAGCCAACAGCAGGCCAACCGTGTAACAGTCCACATCCTTTGGAGAGTCAGAGGGGCCATAACCACGCAAGTCTACGGCCACTACATGGAAATGGCTCTGGAACTCCCGCAGCTGGTAGCGCCAGGAGAACCTGTCGGGCAAGGGAGTTGGGAATTGAGTCAGCTTTTGTAGGGTGCACCTCTTTGGGCCACCCCACCTTTCTGCTCTGGACTTCTTAGAAAGGAAGTAGTGGAACCCCAGGCAGAGAGGCCGAAAGCCACCTCATCTTCAATAAACCCCATCTCTTCACAGGGAATAACCAGCTCTCGGGGTCAACATCTCTGCCCTTTGCACACCATCTGGGCTTTCTATGCTCTGTACCCCCAGGACTACTCAACCCTGTCTGTTTCTGTTTCCTAAGTACCTCATAGTCAGAACTCTATCTTTTCGTAGTCCGGGGAGCTCCAGGACCCCGGGACCCAGACATACCAGTTCTCTGGGAAGCCATGCAGAAATAGCATGAGGGGCCCGTTGCCACGACCAGCGGAGACATAGTGCAGACGCAGGCCGGAACTCTGCGGGAAGACTCAGTCTAAGTAAGAGCTGAGCGGTGAGGGGGAAGGGAGCCTCCTCCGCAGACTGGAGCCCCCAAGGACGGCTCGGCTTTTCCATCTCCTCTCTTCAGCCCGCACCCAGCCCGTGGAAGCCGCCTCGGAGGGGCACTCACCCTGAGGGTCAGAAAGCAGTGCTCGCCCAGCGTGGGGTCGCGCAGGCAGGCGGGAGCCTCCCGCCGCGGGCGGCCGCGGCAGCCCCGGCGGGGGCGGCAGAGCACGCTGGTGAGCGCGACGCAGCCGTAGACGAGCGCCGCGACGGCGGCGGCCAAGTACACCAGGCTTAGCACCAGGGCGCGCAGCAGCTTCAGCGAGAGGCGCGAGGGCGCGAGCAGCGCGGTCACCACGAACTCGGGCATCTCCTCCCGCTCGGGCACGGCCACGCAGCCGCGGTCCGGGGACTGGGCCGAAGGGGCTGGCGCCCGCTGCCCGCCGCCTTTGCTTTGGGATCCCACCGCGCTGTCGGGGTCCGCGGGATCCGCTGAGCAAACAGGTGAGCGGCTCGGGCAGAGACAAGCACCGCTCATGACTCACCCTAAAGTGCCAGGTAAACTACCTGGGCGGATGCGACACCTAAGGATGAGGGGGGTGGAGCCTACGGGGACTTGTTTTCTGGGGTTGCGGGAGGAACTTCGGGGGAGAGAGGGACCGTAGGGAGGAGTTTAAGACAGGGACAGGGAATTAAAATGGTTCTTGTAGCAGACCGCGGTGTTTCGGGGCCTAGGGACAGCTCAGCAGGTAAGGACAGTTGGCATCACGCCTGGCTTCCTAAAATTTGATTCCAGGGAGCCACACAGTGGAAGGAGAGTGATCCTCTGTTCCCACGCACGCGGCAGCATGTGCACCCCCTTGGTGCTTTCATCTTAGCTCTCGGGAAGCAGTGCAGATGGGTCTCTGAGTTCGAGGCCAGCTGATGTATATAGCGAGTTCTAGCCTAGCCAGGCCTACCTACGAAAGTTAAGAAGTAACAATTGGCAAGGCTCTAAGGAAGAGTTGAAGCCTGGAGGAACACAGGGAGGCCCCCTGTGAGATGGGTGGAGCTTTAGGCGAAGGGGCATGGCATAGTCAAGGTAGGTGGGCCCAATTTAGCCCAGATACCAGGGGCGTGGTTTATGAAGGTGGAAGGGATTTAGGCGGAGCCTGGGTTTGGATGTGGAAGACTGAGGCTGGGCTTGTTTGCTTGAGTAGAAACCAGACCCAAGAAATGGAGTTTGTTCTGGAGCTGGAGAGGGCCCGGAAAGGAAAATGAGAGTGGAACAAACCCGGAAGTGGAAGGACAGGAAACGTTATACAGCTGGGAGTAGTAGGCAGTAGGTGTATGTCTCACTGTGTGCTTCCCAAACTAGAGGGCCTTTGGCCTCGACCATCCCGTCCAGAATGTGATCCATCATCTCTTTTACCCGGTCCTGGTTGTGTCCCCGTTGTGTCCTCTCCTCTAGTTGGCTTAGAAGGTCCATCAGCCAAAGCCTGTGATTGGACAGGCCACTAATTTCTAGGTGACAAGTGGGGCCTACGTTCCAAATCGCCAGTGTTGAGGTCCAACCTCTATTGGTGGCAGCCCACCCAGGGCAGACCCTGCCTCCTGAAGGACAGGCCCGACTTGGAAACTGTGGCTAGCCTGGGTACACTGCTTCATTGGGGCTCTGCTTGAAAGAGGAGGCACGTATGATGGGGCATCGCGTCTCGAGCCGTGTCTCAGCAAGAAGCCAGCTTCTTTTGCAACCTTTCCCAAGATCCCTGTTTCAGGGACACCCATTATTTAACCCTTATGGCAATCCTGGTAGGTGTAGGTTAGCATTATCATATCCTCACATTACAGATTATGATCCTGAAATTCGGGGATGAGGTCATTTTGCCTGAAGTCATACATCTGGCTTAACAGCAATCCAGGGTAACACAGAAGCAGCAACTCTGAGGCCACTGACAAGCTTTCACATTTCTTCTGGTGGTTATTTAGGGATCTAGAGAAATGTTAGGTATTTAGACACACTTCTGTAGCTACTTCTATTTTTTTCAGTCCCAGTGTCTGTGCTCCGAGCTTTGCACATGCAGGATAAGCATTTCAACGGGGAGCTTCACCCTCAGCATTTTTCTGTTTTTGTTTTTTGAGACAGGGTTTCTCTGTGTAGCCCTGGCTATTGTGGACTCACTTTGTAGACCAGGCTGACCAGCTTCAACCTTAGCCTTTAAAAAAAATTGAGTATTACTCAGTAAAAAAAAAAAAAAAAAAAAACAAAACAAAACAAAAAAAAACATTATGAAATTTGCAGGCAAATGAATGGAACTAGGAAAAAATAATCCTGAAGTAACCCAGACCAAGAAAAGTAAATACGGTGAGTATTCACTTATAAATGGATATTAAACAAATGATAATGTATTCACTTATATGTGGATAGAAAATACTTAAATAAATGATAAGCAATCTACAATCTGTAAACCAAGAGAGGTTAGGTAAAGGGGGCCACCAGGCATGGTGGCACACGCCTTTCATCCCAGCACTTGTGAGGCAGAGGCAGGGTCTCTGTGAGGCTTACCCTGGTCCACAAAGCGAGTTCCAGGACAGCCAGGGCTATACACATAGAAGAGCAAGGACACACAGATCTCCCTGGGAGGGACTTTAGAATAGATTTTACTAGTGGACTGGGGGTGGTTGGAGAAGGGAATTGGGAGGATTATAAGTGGTGAGGAGGGGAAACAGGGTTAAGAGAATGGCGAAGAGACAGCTGGATTGAGGGGCATTTGAGGATGATGAGACCTAGTACAGTGGAAACTTCCTAAAATATATGAAGGACCTCCTAATGGGGGTCACCTAATAATGGAGTATACAAAGTCCTACCTGGACATCTCTTGTCACCAAATGAGGCTTCCAGTACCAGAACGAGGTTGAATTTAGTTGTTCAAGGGAGTCAGTCCCCTGAAAATCCACAAACAGCCCAGGCCATTGCTAAGACAACGGGTTGCTCTTCACAAACTGACAGTGAGGCCCCATTGCAGAAGATAACACCCTCACAACTCCTTGAAGTCAGGCTGGTGGCCATGTAGAGCTCACCTCCCTACATTTTAGTGTCTTTGGTGCACGGAAGTACTCTGCAGGCTACCAAGAGAAACATCAACACCAACCCAGCCACAGAAACTGTTGACCTACAATCTATCCTGCCTGCAAGATATGCTAGAGCCGTGGTGGCACAGAGCTCGTGGGAGTGGCCAATGTCTGATTTGACTTAAGGCCCACTCCAACACCAACACTGCTTGGATCACCAACAACCAGAGACTAGGTAGCCCACAGACCTAGGGTAAAACCAAACACAACTGGTCTTTGAAAAAAAAAAATTACCAACAACATGACTCTTAAATGATACTCGGCTCTATTCTTGAATGCCTTATTCAGTCATTGGAGCAGCATTCTGCAGCAGATGGGAACAGCTGTAGAGACCAATTACATGGAGAGGGAGAGGGTAACACTTGGAACACTCAGCCCTAAATAGAATGTTTCCATAAAATCCTTCCTCTCAGAGCTCAGGGAACCCTGAGGAAGAGGAGGTGGAAAGAGTATAAGAGCCTGAAGGAAAGGAAGACAAGACAACAAGGCCCTCTGAATCAGCTAAGCAAAGATCATATGAACTCCCGCTGAAGCAGCTCAGTGCCTATGAGTCTGCACCAGAAACTCCGCTTATATAAGTTTCAGCTTACTTTTTTGTTTTTGTGAGACAAAGTTTCTCTGTGTTACCCTGGTTGTCCTGGAGCTTTGTAGACTAGGCTAGCCTTTAACTCAGAAATCCACCTGCTTCTGCCTCCCAACTGCTGGGACTAAAGACATGGGCCACCATGCCTGGTTTTCAGCTTAGTATTTTTATGGGACTCCTGAGTATATGAACGAATGGGTCTCTGATTCTTGTGCCTGCTCTTGGGACTCTTTCTTCTGTTGGGTTGCTTTTTCTAACTCCAATGTGATGGTTTTTATCTATTTTATTTTGTCATGTTCATTACCTTTCATTACCTTTTAGAAGCCTGTTCTTTTCTAATGAGACAGAAAGGGAATGGCTCCAGAGGGGATGACCTGAGAGGGGAGGGGAAACTATAATCAGGATATATTGTATGAGGAAAGAATCTATTTTCAATAAAAAGCAAAAAAAAAAAAAAAGAAAGAAAAAGAAAAAAAATCAGTCTTTTCTTTTGTTTTGAGACTGACTCAACTATGTAGCTCAGGATGCCCTGAAACTGGCCTCCCCTTCTGGTTTGATGGGATTAAGACATGGGCCAACTTGTATTTTAAGACAAGATCTTGCTTGCTAACGCTGCTCAGGATTCTCTTGTGCTTCAGCCTCCTAGAGGCCACCATGCCTGGCTGAGCGGCTAGTTCTTTGCGACAGGATCCCATGTCCCCCCTCTGTAGTGGGTTACCAGGAACTTCTGGCCCTGCTTTCATTTCCCAAGGGTTAGAATTACAGGGATGCATCATCATGTCTGGTTTGGTGATGCTGCTATTGAACCCAGAACCTCATACATGCTGAGCAAGCAATCTACCAGCTGGGCCACGTTCCTTTATAAGTGACTACTTATATACTCAACATCTTGAAGCATTATCTGTCAAGTCACTCATATCATCACTTACTGGACCTGGTTTCCTCACTTCTCTACTGGTTGCCTCTAACTATAAACATTGCTCATCTCTTACCATCTCCTGCCCCCCCCTCGTTATGTCTTGTACTGTCAAACAGGATACTGAACAGTGTATTTATTCTGTTCAAGAGCTGTAATTAAACCTATGGTGAATGGCCATTCACATTTCAGTAAACAATGCCTTTGAGTAGAATTACACTGCCTTTATTGTTCTTCTTAGACCTAAGCACCTCCGTTCATGCATGATTAGTAAGTCTTGCTTTGGGGAGGGTTGGGGGTCAAGGCTGGCCATCTACTCACAATGCTCCTGTCCCCACCCCTCCGCAGTGTTGGGACTTTCAGTGTAAGCCACCAGTACACCCAGCTAACTTTGGTTTAACATTCCAGAACATCAATTATCTGACAATATGGCATTCCCAGGCTCTCTCCTGAGCCTCCAACTTGGCTCTTCGGGGAACAGGGATCTAGTAACTTCCCTTCTCTGAATTCCACTGTATAATCTTGTCTCTAACCCAACTCACCTCCATTTTCCAAGTCTACACTCAAAAAGACATCAGTAATCACAGGAGGGTAACTTGATATTCAGTACAAATGTTTATTTTTGCAATGAGAACTGCACAAAAAAAAAAAAAACTCTTTAGTATTTAAGTGAAAAGTCTACGAATTCCCTTCTACAAATGTCTAAAGTATTTTAATACAAGTCTCAGATTCACTGACATAATTATTGGCCAAGCGACCCATGCATACAGTCCAG